GGAAAAAGCGCCAGGCTGATGACAGGTAAGGCTCCTAATTTTTCTTACTTTCGTCTTATAATTTCTTTAATGTTTACAATAAGAAATATCATGTGGAAAATTGGATTTTTCATTTAACATGCTTTCTTTCTCTTCTAGCGTCTCTCACCACACCCTGAATGTGGACATCACCAGTCCTACTTTCACTGATTTGAACGTCCGATATGCTGCTCGCAGAGATGGTATCAGTGCCTCAGTATCAATCCCATCCAATGGATTCCTGGGCCTTCAGGTCAATGGCAGAGTCCCATCTCAGATGAGTGCAAGACTCTATGGTCGTTTTCTTGTGAGTATCATTAACGTTTTTTTGAAAAACTAAATACTAAAATCTAAATATATTGAAAATAATATTTTGTTTTGCTCTTTTCAACAGTCTGCCCCAGAGGATGATGTTGAGATCTTGGCCATCAGATCCTCTCCTAAAGATGCTGAAAAGATGACCCTTCAGATTGCTTACAACATGGAGGCACCAAAACTAATGCTCAATGAGCTCAAGATGAGACTTCCCTCCATCATCTCTACATTCATAACGTTTGCTGACAAGTACCAGATCACCACAAAGATGGGCGACTTGAAGGACTTTGTTCTTAACCGCATCACAGAGGCCTATGCTGCTGCTATCCGCTATGACCATCAAATGAGCCAGCTGTCAATCTTCTACAGGAACATCATTGTTGAGTATCAGAAGACTGTCCAGGTCTTATTGGATGCTGTCGTTAAGGTCTTGAGGGAGACCCAGTTCAAAGTGCCTGGATCTGATGAGATGACCACTCTTCCTGAGGTCCTGAAGAAGCTAACCACAAGCATTGCAGCTATGCTAGATGCAACCATTCAGATTATGTATCAAAATACAGAAGTCTACTATAACGCATTTATTGATAAGATCAGTGGCATTAAATTGAGAATGCCAGTTGGTGATGCAATTACTGGTGGTCAGGTCTTGGATCAGATCAAAGCAACTTTCAGGAATGTATTTGATGAAGTGTTGGACTTTGTAAAAAATATGGAGAGTCTTGACACAATGCTAGTGAAAATTGGAGAGACCCTGAAGGCTATTGTTGAGAAATCTCAGGAGTTTGTTGACACTATCAAGTCTGACTATTTAGATGCGGTGTTCATTAACATCAATGCTCTCTATCTTACCCTTTTCACATTTGTAAGGAATGTTGTTGACCACATTTATCTGAATGTAAATGATCTCAACATTGCATTTGAGAACATTATGAACATGCTCATTAATGTTGTGGAACAGTTCAATAACACTGCTTATGGTCTCCTGCAGCAAACTTCAGAGGAAGCTCAAGTCTATGTTAAAGTTAGTGCAGGAAAACTTGAGCTTGACCTTCCATTTACCTTCCAAAAGTGATGAACCCTCACGGGCTGAGGCTATAACAGTAACAGTGTAACATCTGAAAATCTACCATCTCTTTAGAAAACATGTTTGGAAGGAATCTGGAAAATCAGCTCTTCAACCATATTTATACCAATGGGTTTAACAGAAACAACTGTTGTATCATGTAAATTTTGATGTTTTATTGTGTACATGTTATACTTTACAAGACTCACCTTCCAGCGAAGAGTGAAAGACTTCAATAAAATACATCAACACAATCATCTGTAATAGTCTGATTTCTTTCTTTGTTTTATAAATTCTCATCAAAACTTTATATGTGTGAGAGCAACTCAGCCTCTTGAATTATAAACGACATCACTGAGTGAATTGGTACTTTTAAATGGTACTTGGTATGTCTCTCTCTAAACCAATTGTGACATAATGGGATTTTACCAAGGAGTGTCATTACACACTTACTACATGTGCATTCACAGTAAAGGTTTGAGTGCATCCATCACAAATATAGCACAACAATGGATACAATTCAGAGGAGACAATTAAACACAACTGACATTTGTGTACAATAGTCATTCGCACCTCTACCAAGTTTAGAACCCTAAACACACCGAACAGGAATTAAAAAAGTAGAATCAAAGGGCAAAAAGTCACATTCTTACACTGTCTCATGTTGCCTCACAATCAACATGTGCATGGAAAATGTGCAGCCAACACAAAAGCATCTTTGCACTAAAGACAGTTCCTATGGTAAAATAAAATCCTAGTAGAGACTGAGGAAGAGTACCTTTAATGGCATTTACAAGAAAATGGCTGAATGCATTAATGATCCTGAAATGTCCTAGGACTGCTATACATTTTCCCTGGGGAAAACACATGTGCTGCAAATGTTCCAGTAGTTTTTGGTTTGTTTCAGTCTCGACCAAAGTGATGGACTAAGTAGGAGATTGACATTCCACTCCACAGATGTATGCCACTAGCATCACTAAAAACAAGAAAGACGTATTAACAGCTACTTTAACAAATAGACATTGTAAATAAATTAAGTAAATGTGTAATTACAGGAGTTTGTTTTCTAGATGACCGTCAATGCCTTTATCACAAAGAGCACCAGAGGAACAAGTTAAAATCTAAAGCCTTTCAGATGCCACTTTTGGTTGCAACTGTAGATGTATTCTGTTTCTCTCCTATCTGCAATTGAGGAGATTTAAGAAATTAAATTAATTTGATGAGCACTTGTGTTGCATATGACAACATACAGTAGGATTACAGTGACAGTCAATTTACATGGGCTTTTCAGGTCGTTTTCCATCCTTGACACAGATAAGTGAGAGTTTACACTGTTATTGTTTGAAGATCCAGTCAAGTGGTGTGAACTGATGGTGTCAACAAAGTCACAACACCCACATGAAAAACCAAAGCAGTTTGACATGAAAAACCTTCTTGGATTAGATAATGACAGTTTTCCCAACAACCAAGTTAGATTGAAGCAATTATTTTCTTTAAGCAGCCAAATCAGATACGTTTTTTGCCTTGCTATTAATAAGGAAAGAAAGAAAGATAGCTCTTCATGTGAACAGAAAAGAGCAGAGGACTAGAATTGCTGATTGAACCGTGCTAAGAATTACACTATATCTACCGTTTACTGTAGTCGACTGTATCCTTGCATAATAAATCAATAAAGTTGTCAAATTCATTAACACAGGCTTATTCATGTAATACACAAATATATTTCAAGTAGATGATAATCTGATTGAAGTACTGGTTTGATCAGATTTGACGGAAAGTGATTTAGCAATAAGCAAACAACCCAACAAGTTTCAGAACCTTGACTAACTGAATCTTGTTGCTTGATCTTGACTGGTAGACAAGTACATGACCCACTTTTTACAACTGTGCCCCACCCACTTCAAACCATTATGTGAGGATGTACAGATGTCTTTTGTGAAGTAACCAGTTATGATAGAAAATTCTGATGAACAATCACAGTATGATTGAGGGTGATATG